GAGGTTGTGAACTGCCATGCTCTTAACTGCTGAGGCATCTCTGCAGTCTGATGGCTGTGTGCATAAAATGGAGCTCCAACTCTTAACACCTACCAATTCAAACATCATAAGTAAACTCAAAACTTCTAGATGATGTCACAGGAAAAGAATCTCAATAACCTTGGAATTGGTGAATACTCCCTTAAACTGACACGAAAGTGCAGGCTGTGAAAGGAAAAAAAACCAATAAATTGGATTTTTACCAAAATTTGGAGCTTGCTCTTCAAAAACCAACGTTAGTAAAATGAAAAGCCTCTCTTGAAAAAGTATTTTCAAAACATTTTTTGACAAAGGGCTTGGATCTCATGCCTTTAAAGAACCCCAGCACTTGCTGGGTGGTGGTGACACATTCCTTTAATCCCAGGAGAGGCAGAGGCACATGGATTTCTGTGAGTCTGAGGCCAGCCTGGTCTATGTAAGAAGTCCCAGGCCAGCCTGGGCTACATTGTGAGGCACTGTAAAGAAGATCTGAAGGGTGGCTCCATGGTAGAGTGCTGGTCTAGTGTGCACAGTGCCCTGGGTTCCAGCCCCAACACCTACCCCCAGAAAGAAAGAAATAGAGTTGCTGGATGCATGCACGAAAAGATACCCAGCATCATTAATAAATAGCAAAGGCCAAATTAAAATCATAAGGAGAGGGCTAGAAAAATGACTCAGCAGTTAGGAGCACTTGCTGCTCTTCCAGAGGACCCAGGTTCGGTTCCCTGAACCCACATGATGGCTCACAACCATCTGTAACTCCAATTCCAGGGAATCTGATGACTTCATCTGATCTCTGTGGGTAGCAGGCACATGCATGATACACACACACATACATGCAGGCAGAACACTCTTACACCTAAAATGGAAACAGAATCTTAAAACCTAAGAGGAGAGCTGAGTGGGGTAGTGCACACCTGGAATCCCAGCACTTTGGAGATAGAATCAGGAGAATCAGAAGTTCAAAGTTTTCCTTGGATACACAACAAGTACCAAGCCAACCTGGGCTATATGATACTCAGCCTCCAAGGAAAGATAGAGGTACAAAAGAAGGGAAAGGAAAAACATGAAGAAGAAGGATTAAGATTTGAAAGACTGACACATCATTGCCCAGAGGCACTGGGATTTTCACACACTTCACAAAGGGCTATAAAACAACACAGCCACTTTACATAAATCAACCTGGGAGTCCCTTGCTGAGTTAATCCAAAATCTACCCAGGCATTTCACCCCTGGGTATTTAATCCAAAAAATATGAAATTACATATTCACAGAGAGCTTATATATAAATGTTCATAGCAACTTTCAATGATTCAACATTCTAGAAAGATGCAAAATAAACTGTTTCCATGGTGATAGGAATAAGATGGGAAGAGAAGAAGGGATTACTAAAAGATTTTAGGACATTTTCTCTTAACTGCTGAGCCATCTCTCCAGTCCCTGAACTTTCAGTCACCTTGACTCTATTTCCCAAGTGCTGGGATTCTAGGCCTGGGGTTCCAGGCTGATCTCATTTGGGACCCTCTCCCCACCCTGCACCAGAGATGGTACCTGGAGCTTTATGTGAAGGCTCTACTACTAGGATTTATCCCCGTCGATATTTTGTTTTTTTTTTTTTCTTTAGATGAGCCTGGTTTAGTTTTCCAGGGAGGCTTTGAACTTTCACCATTCCTAAGGACCTCTGCCACTTCAGCAGCTGAGAGCACAGAAAAGTTTGGCAGGTGTTGGACATGTTCATGTTCTATACTCTGGCTGGGTTGGTAGGCATATGCATAAAATCTCTGTTCTTGTAGATTTATCTGTGTGTGTGTGTGAGCACACAAATGTGTGCTGGTGTGTGTGTGTGTGTGTGTGTGCAGATACAGAGGCCGGACAAGAGCATCCAGTCCCTCAGATCTGGAGCTACAGATGTTTATGGAAAGCCTGGCTTGTTACATGGGTGCTGGGATTTGAACTCTGGTCTTCATGATTGTGCAGTGCACTCTTGATCACTGAGCCCCCTATAAAAAACTCTTGAAGCTGTCATTTTAATCGTGCTCATTTTACTTGATTTCTCTGTTACCTCAAAGTAACAGCAACAAAACAAGGCCATGCAGAAAAGAAAACAGGAACATAGCTTGGTTCTGAGTAGCACAAACAGTCCAATAGAATAAACACTGAATATATTAAATTATCAAAAAATAATTACTTGGGGCAGGGTGGTGATGGCACATGCCTTTAATCCCAACACTCAGGAGGCAGAGGCAGGCAGGCCCATGTGAGTTCAAGGACAGCCAGAGCAATACACAAAGAAACCCTGTCTTGAAAAACCAAAATAATAATAATATTAATTACTTGGGACAATGTTTATGGGAGAGAGAGGGGATAAAGATAGGGAAAAACCCTAATGTTCCCTAGTGGAAATTCAATAAAGTCTAAGAGTGAAAAAATATGAGGGTCAAAATTGGTACCTTTGGGCTAGCAATTTCAAGCCTGATGACCTGGATTTCAGTCCCTAGAACCCACATGGTTCTACTCCTGAAAGTTGCCCTCCAACCTTCACCTGAGCAATCTCCTCTCCCACCACCCACACAAAGTAAATTTCTAAAAGAGAAAAAAAACAAATATGTTTTTGTAAGCATAACTTCTATAAGAATCACTAAAAACTGCACACTCTGAAAAAGGGAAGTTGGAGATTGCACTCTTCAGAACACGTGGTGCTGGCTGGCTGCATAGATATGTACTCTCAGCTGCTGAAGAGGCAAAGGCTCTTAAGAGTGGTGCAAGTTTAGCTGGGCATTGGTGGCACACACCATTAATCCCAGCACTTGGGAGGCAGAGGTAGGCAGATCTCTGTGAGTTTGAGGCCAGCCTGGTCTACAAGAGCTAGTTCCAGGATAACCTCCAAAGCCACAGAGAAACCCTGTCTCGAAAAACAAAAAAACAAAAGACGAAGAGTGGTGCAAGTTCAAGGCCTCCCTGGGAAACTAAACCAGGCCCGTCTAAAGAAAACAGAACGACGGGGATAAATCCTAGTGGTAGAGCCTTCGCAGAAAGCTCTAGGTTCCGTCCCTGGTGTAGAGTGGGGAGAAGGTCCCACATGAGATCAGCCTGGAACCCCAGGCCTAGAATCCCAGAATAGAGGCAAGTTAAGTTGACTGTAAGTTCAGGGGCTGGAGAGATGGCTCAGTGGTTAAGAGAATTCACTGCTTTTACCGAGAATCTCAGTTCCCAGCATCCACATGGTTCCCCACAGCTGTCTGAACTCCTCCAGCTTCTGGGCACTGTGCAGGCAAACACTCATATGGGTAAAATAAAATGAATGTTTAAAAATATTTAAAGACCACTGAAAGTTCCAGGCCAGCATGACTATGCTACATAAAGGTATACTGGCCCCCCCAAAAACCTTAGATTTAATTAAACCACTTACAGGTATAGCTTTAATATTAATCAAAAGCTTTTTCATTTGTATGGGTGGTTGCATGGGGATAATAGATGTGTAAGAGTGTATACGAGGAGGCCAAAGGTCAGCATGGGTGTCGTCATCCACCTTGTTTGAGACAGGGTCTCTCCTTTGACCTGGAGCTCAATCTAGACGGTCCGGCCACAGAGCTCCTGGGTCTGCCTTCCCAGAGTTGGGTTCACACTCAGCTTTTCTATGCAGATTATGGATGTGGAATTTGGGTCCTAATGCTCTGGAACACATCTGCCTGTTGAGCCCCAAATTAAAACTTTAATTTTAAAAATTGTTTTATTACATTTGACTTAGTGTGTGTGTCTGTGCACATGCCTACCACAACACACATAAAGAGTTCTGAGGACAACTTGCGGGAATAAGTTTTCTTCTTCCACCGTGTGGGTCCCTGGGATCAAGTCTTCATCATCGGGCTTGGTAGCAAGTGCTTTTACTGTCCCTATAGTCCAAACTTTTAAATGTGTTATCAGGATCTTCGATACTGGTCACCCAGAATTCGCAGGTGTTCCCAACTGCCAGAGCGTTTCTGGGCACTCATGTATGCAGACCAGTCTAGAACAGAGGCTAAGATAGGGACAGAATTTGTAGCTCTTCATATGATTGTGTCCCTAAAAAGTCTTCAGATCAGTCATAGCATCCTTCCAAGTGCATCGAGCAGCTTTTGTTCTGAAAAGCTACAATGACACCTTCCTGGGAACCTAACAGGAGAATGTACATATTTCAGAAGGTTTTTTAAATTTTTTTAATTTTTTTTTATTTTTTGGTTTTTTTGAGACAGGGTTTCTCTGTATTGTTTCGGAGGCTATCGGTCCAGCCCGGCCTCGAACTCACAGAGATCCGCCTGCCTCTGCCTCCCAAGTGCTGGGATTAAGGGCGTGCGCCACCACCGCCTGGCCCAGAAGGTTTTTTTTTAAAGGATTTATTTATTTTTATTTTATGTGTATGAGTGTTTGCATATATGTATGTGTACTTGCAACATGTGTGTGATGCTCATGGAGGCCAGAAAAGGATGTGGGGTCCCCTGGAATTGGAGTTACAGACAGTTGTGAGTCCTGTTGTGGGTAATGGGAACGGAACTCCAAATCTCTGCCAGAGTATCAAGTGTTCTTAACTATTAAGCCATCTCCCTAGTCCCAGAAATGTGTATATTTAAAATGCCTACAAGGGGCTGAGGAAGTGGTTTAGTTGACTAGTATGTACAACCATAAGTTCAAGGCCAGTCTTGTCTACATGAAACCCTGTCTCAAAACAAACAAAAACAACAACAACAAAAAGTCAGTCATGCTTACAAGACATAGAGGCAGCTCAGTGGTACAGGGCTCGCTTAGTATGTGAGAGATCCTGGGTTCCAGCCGCAGCACTGAGAGACATAAGGCCTACATTATTTCCGTCTAGAGATAAGAGGCCACAGTGAAGGAGACACTTATGGAAATGCAGTGTTACCAAGCTGATCAGCATCCTCCTACAAGGTCTTGTGGGATCCAGGCTAAAGCCCACACTAAGTGTGTCTTTCTTGTTCCCTATTTAGGTGGGCACTTCTTTCACCGGAACTCCCTGTCACCTCGTAGCCTGGTGTACGAAAGTGAATTCTCCACAATTGAACCATCGTTGGACATGTATGATGAGAACAAAACCTGAATTTTTTTAAATGGGCTGTTGGGGGTCTCTCCTTTTGAGATTTGATTTATCGTCACCTTTCTTATTTTGTATTTTTCTGTCATCGTCCGTTTTGGAAGAATGGCAGTACCTCTGGGTGCAAGTTGGGGTTCTGAGTTAAATTGCAGAGTTCCCCCAAGGTGAGGTTTGAGGACATTATTGCCCAGGTGAGCCTCATGGTACTGAAGACCCACCCAGAGCTGACCCCTGAGCATGGGCACCCCATGAGCCTTGCCGTTTCCAGAGAAGAGATGGGGCCAGGGGCTAATGATGCGTTTGTTGCAAATGTGTCCATGTCCCCAAGTAGTCGCACGCCGTTCTGTGTCAGGGTGACATTGGGTTTTTGTAAAATACATTTTGTGGTCCACACATGCACACAGAAGCCTGCAGATAAAAGTCCCACCAATGCAGATCTGAGTCATGGCTCCTTGACCTGCTTCACTTTGTCTTCTGTCTCTTACTGTGTTTCCTGGTAAAAGGCCTCTTCCTACAGAGCATCCTCCAAGAGAAGATTCATCTTCCTCCCCCTTCTGCAGCGCCGACCACCGGTGTCCTCCAGAGCTCTGGACACAGAATCTGCTCTCACAGGATCAGACAGTCACCTACCTTGTTGTTTTCCAGCATCTGTGATGAGCATGACATAAGATGACAAGTATTTACATAGACACTAGACATGGAAGGCATCTGTCCCCACTGTCTGTGGTGTATATGGAGAGGTGGCAGCGGGAGCCTAGCATGATGACCACATGGGAGAAGGTTAACCGTCATCCACACCAAAATAGTTTTAAATGTTTTATTGGGAAGTGCAAACCAACATCCTGTTAAATACCATGGGGACCCCTCTTCCATCTTGATTGTATAATCCAGTGCTATCCTGCCAGCCTCGGCACCAACATGAAGAAACATTGGAGTGCTGGCAGCCAGACTTTCGGAAGAGGATGCTGTGGCCAGCATGGTGGACACTGGGAACATGTGTGCTTGTCACACACATCTAGAATGACATCAAGTTACTATGAGAGGCATATGGCCTACAGTGTGGGACCAGGATGAGCCAGTCACCTCCTTCCTGCAGGATCTCATACCACAGTCAGCTGCTTCTCACCAGAGTGAAGATGTTCAGATCCTGGATAGAGGAATGCAGCTCCAGTGTCCAGACGTGTGTGTGTGTGTGTGTGTGTGTGTGTGTGTGTGTGTGTGTAAGAGAGAGTGTGTGTGTATGTGTGAGAGTGTGTGTGTATTCGTGTATGTGTGAGAGTATGTGTATATGTATGTGTGTATGTGAGTGTGTGTGTGAGAGAGAGTGTATGTATGTGTATATGTAGGTGTGTGTGGGTCACATGAGCAGATGGGGAGGCCCCCACCCTGTCACTTTTATTGGCTCTGTGGGTCATTAAGTTTGAGGCACATGCATGCCATCTTCACACATGCGGCTCCTTCTCTTTCACATCATCTTATAACATGTCGCTAGGATCCCTCAGATGTCCCTGTGCCTGAAACAGACCCTCAGAGAACCTTAGTGCTGACAGCCTGTAAGAACATGGTCACAGGGTGAGCCCATACTCCACTTGAGTAATTTGAAGCTGGACCAGGGCCGACCTCTAAGGTCTTGACTGCTTTAACTCTTTACTGCTTACCAAGGGCTTTTGTCTTTCCTTTTATAGTCTTTGTACTATAAAAATATTTTTGATAAAGCTTCAATAGATTATCGTTCTGAAAGACAGGTTCTCAGTCAGAGCATTCTCAACAGAAGAGTAGACTGCCAAGGTCCAGAGGCTCAGCGGATGCTGTAATTGCCATGTTGCCCGTAGCCTTGTTTTCCCCATAACCAAAACTCAGATCCCAGTGAGTCATTTTCTTCAGGTCTCAACAGTCTTATAAGGCACATACATTAAATCATTAAATTCCACTCTAGACAATTTCCTTACTGAGCAAACTAAAGGAAAGCAATCGCTTGGGGGAAAATTTTTTAGTTGAGTCTCTACTGAGATGATATTTGAACCCCTGGGAAATCTGGAGCATGCATTCACTGTAGAACAGCCAAGGAGGCAGTTCTTAGGAAGGAATTTGCTCCAGCACCAGGTTGACCCCTTTTTCTGAAAACTGGGGCCACCTTCAACTCGGCTCCAGAATGTCCTGTGCTCATCAGGAGGGGACTGATTTCTTTGTGGAGGACACGTGCTTTGGGAGAACAGAAGATAACAGCTTCCTGCCAGCAGCTATGATGAGAGGACTCCCATGAAGCCACCCAGGTCCCCAGGTCCATTACTGGCATATACCACAGAACATACACCCAGCAGGATCTACAGCCACGGCAGCAGTAGCGGCAGACTGGACTGTGGTGTCAATACAAAGGCTAAACCTTTTGAGATACCTAGCTTCCTCGTGGAGGGGCCGCTTTGGGCTAGTTACTTCCAGGAGAAAGGAGAGCTGACTGGCTGGACGTCCAGGTGTGAAGAAGTCTCCAGAGGGTCTCTGGAAATAATGAGTGTGACCATCCAGGACCCTGCCTTTGCTCCCCTCCAAGGAAAACAGGCTCTACCATCAGCAGTTTAAAACTCCTTCCAAAGCCCACTAAGCCTTGCTTCTGAATCAGCCTCGTCAGTCCCTCATGGGAACATCAATAAGGCACATCCCTGAATGCCGGTCTGTCCTGAAGTCTGTGCTTCCCATCTGTCCTGATGCATGACAGCCCAGATGCCAGAAGATGGGGTCCAAAGGCATTAGGCAAAAAGTAACTGAGTTTTACTAATTGGCACAGCCTATGGACTTTATAAGTCTCCCTAGTTTTGTCACCTCCATGCTTTCACTGATCTGTGTGCTAAATGACACCAAACCAAGGGAAATCCACCTGTTCTTTTCCTGTTAACTTTTACTGAAGGGGACCTTGTTCTGCTACAACAAACAAGGCTGTGATTTCACACCAGGAATCCTGCTCATAAACGTCAAGAAAGGAAACGGCCCAATTTAAGACTGGTATTTGGAAGAGAGAGGCAGGACCATGGAGTTAGTTTTGTCAACAGCCTTTTTTATATTATTTTAGGTCTTTTCTTTTTTAGTTTTTTTGAGACAGGGTTTCTCTGTGTAGCCCTGGCTGTCCTGGTACTCACCCTGTAGATCAGGATGGCCTTGAACTTGAACTTGGAGATCCTCCAGCCTCTGCCTCCTGAGTGCTGGGTTTAAAGGCACCAGGCCCAGGCTGTTGACAGATTTTTATAAAGTTCTCATTGTGTACCTGACTTGTGCACTTGGAGTTAAGGTAGATCAGTAGTCATGAAGACCTGGAGGGTGAGGGTGCATCTCAGTGGTTGAACACCTCAGTGCTTGAGCCTGTTTGGCTGTCCTGAAAACTGGCATGTTGGCAACAGTTTGCAGAGTGAGAGCAATGAAATGAGGGTGAGTCTATGGGAGGCAGTCCCCTGGGCCTAGGTGGAGGATCAGTGCCTGCTGAGTCTGGGGGAAGGCCCTGAGGAGGAGCAGGAGAAAGGCAAGGTCCTTGGGTTGAAGCATCTCCCTGACTGGGGCAGGGGAAGCTCCAGAACTTTGCTTGGGAAAACACCATGAGCAGCAGGCTGTGTGAGAGCAGAGGGCAGACAGGCCCTGCAGGGGACTGACACCCTAACAGTTGGCTTAGAATCAAGGCACTCCAGATTGAGCTGACTATAGGTAGGGAAACAAGGGGGGCTGTGAGATAGAAATGGAAGTCCGATTTATTCTTTTTTTTTTTTTCCTGAGACAAGGTTTCTTTGTGTAGCCTTTGCTATCTTACAACTCGCTCTGTAGACCAGGCTGGTCTCAAACTCTCATAGATATGGCTGTCTCTACCTCCCAAGTGCTGGGACAAAAGGCGTGCACTGCCTCCACTTGTCTCGGTGATTGGGTGAATGTTGGTAGGGTCCCGGAGAGCCCATAAAACCCGGCCCTGAGGTGGTCTCCACACCATCATAGCCCCTGGGAGGCGCCGCATCTTCCCTTCCGCCACCCTGTGCAGAGGTTTGCGCTCTAGGCACTACACTCACCCTGGCAGAGGTGACTCTCAATTCCGATGATGGTTAACCTGTCTAGAGAAGGGGGAGTACGTAAGATGCTTGGGTGTGGTTGAGCTCACTGCAGGGCTGTAAGTATTGTGACGTCAGAAAAGGACCGGAAGGAGTATGGGGACTAAAATGTCTGTAGCACAGCACTGTTTGCCTGAGTGTGTCTGGAGAAGCAGAAGCAAAGCCACTGGCAAGCAGCTCTTGCAGACTCCTTGCGTCTGACTGGCTGACCCCGAGGCCCTCTGCAGATCACAGTATTTACAAGTCACACCAGCCTCATGGAGCCTGGGTGGCAGGGTCTGAAATTAGTGGTCAGGAGGCCACCTTGTAGCCAAGGAACTCCTTCAGGACTCTGACAGGACTGATAGGTTCCACTCTTCTTTATCAGCGATCCCAGAAAACTGACCTTTGATGAAGACAGGCCAGGTGGGCCCCAGCAGGCCTGGAATAAAAGCAGTCACCTGTGTCTTCCAGAGCCACGACTCCACCAGCCTACAGTGACTGTAGAGAGGGAGCTGGAAGCCTCAGCAGCTACAAGGGTGACATTTCTGCACTACAGACATGGTTCTAAGAGCCCTGACATGGCCCTGTGGAGGCTGCCCATCCCTTGATCGCCCTCCTGCAGTCCTCCCTAGACTTACACTTTTTTTCCTACTTTCTTCACTCTGACTTGGGAAGAAAGAAGCGTGTGGCAAAAGGCAGAGTAGCCTTTGAACTTCATGCAACCCAAGTGTTGAACTTTCAGGAGGATTCTTGCCACCAGAGTAACTAGGGCCTCTGTCCCTAGATCCCTCCGTTTCCTCCTATGGATTCTTTACGACAGGTCTGAGGTGGTCCAAACCCCACTTCACAACCTAAAACAGTGATCTTTCGCAGAAGCATTGGTGACGCTGGAGCTGAAGGCGGAGGCTTCACAGGAGTTAGCTGCACTCCTTGTCCTCCTGAGGAAAGGTGGAGCTGCCGAGCTGCCCACCTCCCCCTGTGGTAGACCCTCCATCCTCTCCCCTGCCCCTATCCCTGGGACATTTGATGCTGATGTGACTCATTTCTCTCCAGCCCCCTCAACTCCACTTGCTGGTCAGGTGCATGCATGGGGAAGAGACAGGTTGGCACCCACAAGATCTCCCTTCCCATCAGCAACCGTCACCTGATCCTGCACACCTCTTTCCAGACACTACCAACAGGTAACCCAACATAACATGAATTCTAGCCTGCTTTGGAATTACCCTTCATCCACAATTAAGTCTAAATGTATTTGCATTATGATATTAAAGGATTTTTCTAATGACTGGAAGGCATTGAACCAAAATGTTTGTTCTAAAAAAACGTAGGAGAGTTGGGTAAAATGTGACATCCCAGGCCATATTTTTCCCTTCAGGTAAGCAAGCTACATCCGCCTACTGCCAGCCATGCTTTATGCCTCAATTACTAGGTATGGCCTGCTTCCACACCTAGACCTTTTGGGGGCAGCCACAAGGACACATGCCACCTTCCTTGCAGCCCCAGCTGGCTTGCTGACCTGACTAGGAGACAGCTGTCTTGGCTGGTGCTTGGGGTAGGATCTGGAATCTTCAGCCCAGCGTGGGAGGTGAGATGGACTCTTAAGTGGCCCCACTTCTTCCAAGGAAACAGAAAAGAGCCCAAGCTGGGAGGCGATGCGGATGTGGGTGGAGAAAAACATTGTCTCATCGTCATGTGCTGCACCTGTAGAAGGAGCGGCATCAGTTTAAATCCCAGGCCGCATGTGTCACAGTCAGTTTTGACTCTCAGTAGCTTTCACAGTCACAGAAAACACTGAAGTCACCCCTTTCCTATCTGGGTTATTCAAAGAGCCCCACTTATTCTGGGTTCCTGTTGACTATGCACAACATCTCAGAGGATGGTATACAAAACTATTTTTCTAACCTTAGCACAGGTAACTTCGGGTGAGGAAGCTCAGAATACACCTAAGGCAGATGGCAAGGTGGGGGCACCTGGAGGGATAAGAGGGAAATATGCACTTGAATTTCTTTCACCAGTAGATAGCTTGTGCCAGAAAGAGCACACATCAAGGACTCAAGAAGCAAAATTGCTCATTAGCTTAATCTAGGACTCACTGTAAGGGGTTACTCTGTCAAGAACAGACACCGGAAAGTACAGTGTGAGCTTATTTCTTGACACCAGATCTGTCAACCCCTGGAAATGGGCAGCACAACCTCTAGGTCCACATGGTTGATGTAAGTATAACTAAGTAGTGAAATTGTCTGGCATGTACCTCTATGCCAATAGTGTACACCTGTATGTGTGGAATTTGCTAATATAACTGTTTCAATAAAAACCTATTGAAAAAGCTGCTTGTGTTACGTGGAATACTCTCGGTGGTTACAGACGACAGAAAATACAGACTGACTAAAGGACATGGTAGGAAATAAAAATCCAAACCACATTGACCTTACTCTAGAAATGGATAGACTGGTGTTGAACCATGGTACATGAACCCTGACACACTGTAAGAACAGCAACTACTACAACTGTTGTGAAAACATTTCAGTGGTTAAGAGTGCAGGCTTCTCTCCCAGAAAACTGGATTCAGTTCCCAGCACCTGCATGGCTTACAGCCATCTGTAATTCCAGCATCAGGAGTTCCAACCACCTCTCCTGGCCTCTGAAGATACTGCGCACACATATGGTATACAGATATACATGCAAGCAAAACACCCATACACATAAAACAAAAATAAGTAAGCTCTAAACTTTAAATATAAAAAGTCAAGACTGGGTGTAGTGGTGCAGACCTTTCATCCCAGCGCTCAGGAAGCAGAGACTGGTGGGTCTATGTGAGTTCAAGACCAGCCTAGTCTACATAAGGAGTTCCAGGATAGACAGGGCTACATAGAGAGATACTATCTCAAAAGAGGAGGAGGAGGAAGAAAAGGAAGAGGAGGAGGAGGAGGAGGAGGAGGAGGAGGAGGAAGAGAAGGAAGAGGAGGAGAAGGAGGAGGAGGAAAGAAAGAAAGAGAAAACAGAAAAAGAAGGAAGAGTGTGGCTCTTAATGTTATTACCTTATTGGCTCTCATCATAACCAAAAGAATTAAAAACACTTCATCCAAAACTTGTACACGGGCTGGAGAGATGGTTCAGCAGTAAGAGCGTTTGCTGCTCATGGGGATTGGATTACAGATCTCATGTAACAAGACAGGCACACTGGGCACACTGTACCCCCAGCTTGAGGGGTCAGAGACAAGAGGAATAATGGGACTTCTGACTTCCATTCCGACTATCTACGAAAACAAGCCTCAGATTCAAGGAAAGACCCCTGCCTCAAAGAACTAGGTAGAGAGGATAGAGAAGACCCTGCGTCCTCTGCTGGCTTCCACACACGTGTGTGTGGTCATGCACACCTGCACACAAATATGCCATGTACTCAGACACACACAGAGAAGTAAAAACCTTTTAAAAGACATACACAGTGCTTATGATAATATTACTAAGATCCAAAAGACTGAAACGTCCATCAGCTGATGGGTAAACAAAGTGTGGCATGTCCCTGCCGTGCAATATTAAGTTATAAAAAATAACACTGACGTGCTACATCATGGATGGATTTGGACATGTGATCGTAAGTGAAGACTGTTCCATTTACATGAAATACCCAGAATAGGAAAAGCATAAAGGCAAAAGCACATTAGTGGTTACTGAGGCTGAGGAAGACAAAGATGGGAAATAACTGTCATGAGTACAGGGCTTCCATTCAGAATGATGAAAAAGTTCTGAAATTAGATCATTTTGCTGACTACTAAATCATGGAACTATCAAAACCTGAATTTTACATTTTTATTAATGAGGTACATTTTACAGAATATAAAATCGCAGAAAATAGAGAAAAAAGACATAGATTTTTCATATATTTTGTAGCATATATTAAGTGCTCAATAAGAATTATTTTCCTTTTAAAGAATGGCCCTGGTTCAGGCAGTAATGGTACATGTCTTTAATCCCAGCACTTGGGAGACAGAGGCAGGTGGATCTCTGAGTTCGAAGCCAGCCAGTGAGTCCCAGGACAGCCAGGACTGTTACACAAAGAAACCCTGCCTCAAATAAACAAAAACAAAAAAGGGGACAGTCCTTACAGATTGTTCTCTGGGTCAGCAGTAACACCCAGGGGCATGTTAGATTGCAGAGACAGATGGTACCAACCTCAGCCTCATGTCCAAGATCCATTCATGTCATAGCCTGTCAGTGACTTTTTTATGGCTGAAAATTACACAGTAGGGATATGCCACATTTTGATTATTCTTCAGTTGATGGACATTTCAGTCTTTGGGCTCTTGAGTATACTCAAACTTGACAACCTCTGAAATAAGGATAGACAACCCTTTACTGCACGGCAGGATGGTAACAAGTACTTCCACATTATTTTTAAATTACATTTATTTATTTGTTTACGTGGAAGTCAGAGGACAACTTGCAGGAGCTGTTTCTCTCCTACCATGTGGGTTCAGGGCTCAAACTCAGGCGTCTCATTGGTGCTCAACTACTTCAAGTTCTTCATTATTAGATTTTGTATAGATTTCGCTGTGTGTGTGTGTGTGTGTGTGTGTGTGCGCGCGCGCGCGCGTGCGCTCTGCTGTTGCTGTTTCTGACAGCAGCTGGAAGAGGGTATCAGATCCCCTGGAGCTGGACCCCCATCTTTTGCTGAGCCATCTTGCCAACCCACTACTTCCAAATCTTTTTATTTTTTATTCTTTTGAGACAGGGTCTCTCTATGCAACCCTGGATGTCCTGGAACTTGCTATACAGACCAGGCTCATCTCAAATTCACAGAGATCCAGCTGTCTTTGCCTCCCAAGTCCCAGGGTAAAGGTGTGTGCCACCATGCCTGGCTTACTTCCAAATTCCTGGGTGTAGAATTCTCCAGAGAGCACAACAGCATCGGTTTATGCTTCCCCAAATCCTCTTTCCTATTATTAGAACACATTGATGTGCTAGGCTACAAATCTAGTATGTGTAAGATGATGAGCTTCATTATGTTTTCACAGGTGGATACCATACCCCCCCCCATAGCGATATGATGGACAGCCAGGCTGACTGACTGCCCTGTACTCTGTCAGGATAAACCTGAGTGTATTGTGCTCCAAACTCTTAAGGAAAACCAGTCTCCATATCTTGAAAGCTCAGAGTCACAAATTGCATTTCATTCACTCTGCCTGTCACCCATTACATCTGCCACACCCAAGACCCTTGAATGCCAGTGACAGAACCCAACTCAAGGGACTGTGGGTGCAGTTCAGCCTGCTCGCCTAGAGTGAATGAAGTTCTCAAGTTACATCCCCAGCACCACATAAGTCCGGCCTTGTGGTGCATGCCTGTAATCCTAGCAATAGCAATGACCGAAGCAAAGGGTCTGCGATCATCCGTAGTTATACATAGAGTTTGAGGTTAGCCTGAAATACAGAAATATAGAGACCCTGTTTCGAAGTAAACCCTTTAAAACTAGCTCAAACCTCCCAGAATGAATCTACCTTCTTTTCACCCCCTGCCACATCCAGGTGACATGGGACACCTCGTACAGCTGTCTCCCTAGCCTTTACCAAAATAATGGTTCACGCCTGTTGTCCAGGCGAAGGAAGGAGCCCCTTTGAGTCAGAAACTGTCTTGTTCCTGATTGCTTCACCGGTCTGTAGTTGACAGAACCCACAGACGCTAATTTTGCTTCATGGTTCAGTGAGCGGCAGGAGCCCTGGGCTGGGATCTGAAGATGGATTTGCACTGTGAGTGCTTGCCTCCTTCTGGCCAGGACCGGGAAGAGCAGGGTTCGGCGCTCCTAGACCATAGCGCGGCCCACTTACGCAAAAATGTGCCCATCAGTTACCCCAGCCTCAAGGCCACTTCAATCCTTCAATAAGTGGGGTGAGAGCACTTATTTCCAAGGACACCAGCTGCCTCAGAGCTTCTTGACAACTGAACTCTTGAGGATTCCAACCTTAGACTTAGGCGTCAGAATTCCGAGGCTGACCAGGAACTGCTAACCCTTCTCCAGACGCTCTGTGCAACATTAGCGCGTCTGGGCTGCACAGTCGACCGAGAGCATGTGATTTCCCCGCCAACCGGACAACGGTGGCGGGGCTGGGCGGCACTGCGAGGCCACAAGAGACCTAGGAGGGAGGCGTTGCAAGCGACCGCGGCCACCAGGGGGCACCACCTTTCGGGCCGGCGTCTCGACCCCGCCCCGGCCGTTCGGCTCCACTCGGCTCGGCTCGGGTGCAGCGACGGCGGCGCGCGCTTCCGCCTCGCGGGCTCTGGCCCGGTGCGAGCGGCCGCGCGATGTGGCTCGGGCCGGAGGAGGTGCTGGTGGCCAATGCGCTGTGGGTGACGGAGCGGGCCAACCCCTTCTTTGTACTGCAGCGGCGCCGGGGCCACGGCAAGGGCGGCGGCCTCACGGGTGAGCGGGGCGCGGGCGGCCGGGCCTGTGCGCACCGGGCCTGGCGGGGCAGCAGGACGCGGCCAGCGGGCTAGCGGGCACGCGCAGCGACGCGAGGGGTCGGAGAGCGGGCGGGGAGGATCTTCCCCAGACGGGCGGCAGGGGAGGGCAGCCGTGATCTCCCGGAGACGTGTGCACGCTCCTGCAGAGGAACTTAGCAGCCAGAAGCGTGCAGAGTCCCCCAGCTCGCCCTTTGCCTCAGTTTCTCCAAGTGACTCTGAGGGACCAAGTGGCATACACACACATTATCTTTTGCCGTCTTCTTAACTTCAAACTCACCGAAGAATTGTCTCTTTATGAAGATCAAAGATACTCTGACCTCTGTTCCCCTTTCCCCCAGCTTCCCTTCACTTGGGGCCATCAGAACTCCTGACCCAAGGCTTGTTTTTGCATAATTATCGGTGTATATGAAATGTCCCCGAGAAAGCCCAGGTGCCCCTTGGGTGTCTGGGCACCACCACTCATACAGCAGCAGCTAGTTTGGGTGCCTCTAATGTTGTGTGACATATGGGATTGTGGGAACCTACTGAGCAAGATTTATTCAAAACCCCTTGTGCTCCAGAGCCATCAGGTACTGCAGGAACAGGTCTGGGCCCACAGGAGACTCCAGGGGACCCCCCTGGGTGCCATATCGTTCAGTTTATAAGGCGAATTCTCAGTGAAAGGCCCTGATTTTCAGTGTGGCAGCTAACAATCCTGCCTGATGCATTTGGAGGCTTCCCTTAGGTGCCATTGGCTGCCAGGCTCTCATGAGCCTCACTTCTTAATGCGGAAAGGACTGTACCTTTTCCAAGAAAACTCAGTGTTCTCTTCCACAGTCAGGTTCCTTCCCAGAGGGCCTGGAGATTACTGGAGGTGGTACTGAACCGGC